GATGAGTAATGGACAGAAAACAAGTTTCTACAAAGTTGTCTTGTTGGCATCACTTGCAGACACAGCGAACTCACAGTGGCGACAGAGGAGACTCACATAGCAACAAGGTATTCTTTCGAGTCTCTGCTGCCCGACCTTCACACGTGTTTTGTAATAGTGTGGTATTCTTAACGACGCGCACCGCACTTGGCAAGAAGTACACTATACGCTTCGTTGCCGATGAACTAAGCTTTTTCAGACCCTCGTTCTGAGCTTTCTCGAATCTCGTTTCCATGAATGCGCCAGGTTTATGGCGTGCTTTCCGTAAACGCTCAAAGCTCTTTCAATCAATAGGATCACCAGTGTGTAGAAACTGCGATGAAAATCTTCAGCCAGTCACGTTTTGCTGGCATGCAGCCTGCTACCTCCCACATTTATTTTTTCGAAGCATGTGTTAAAGTATATAGCTGCTGCATGATTGCATGATGTATAAATACTTCGCCAACAGTGTATGTCTTATATAACGAGGTTGAAGCTTATGTTACTCTGATACTAATTTTTCCAACTCTCTTCATGAGCGCCTTGATACCTCTCCGATGCACCTTTGGTAATGAAGCCATTAGTGTCGAGGTTTCAATATCGTGGTCATTCAAACAGATCTAATTCACATTTACATAAGTTTCAAACAGCTGAACTTGCATTCCAACATGAACCATTGTGTTTGAAAGAAACGACTGGGCTTGTACGTTTAGGCGAAAAGAAAAGTCGCCTTTAAAAAATTTACTTAATTGTTTCTCTTTTATGCACAGGCAGTAAAACATCGCCATAAAATCAATAAGAAGAAATAACATTTTATGCATTTTCTTCACAAAATAACAGTGTCCGTGTGTGCGCGGTCATACGGCTGTGCTGTAACTTGTGCAGATTTGTGGGGATGCAGTGGTTTTGTGAAACATGATGCAGTATTGAATGAGTGGTTCATGAAATAAACTTGTCGCGTGGACTCGTCCACGGCGTAAATTTTGTCGAGAGGGCCTCATCGAGGTTGAGTCCCGTGAGATAGCTTAATGCTCTCCGATAGTCGAGTACCAAGTACTCTAAATTGTCAACCACTTTTTCGAAACGCGTTCAGCGTAATGCAAATATAAATGAGCTAAGCGGTACTTTTGCCTAATACCGTTAAAGGACATGTGTAGTTTTAACCAGTGTGCAATCTGTGTTTTAACGCAGAAGTCACTGGCTAATTCTGACACGATTACTCTCCTCGTATCATCAGCGACACGCTGCCGCAAAATTCAAACACCAAATTGCGTGAATGCATATGATCATTTGTCTGCATAATGGTCTGATGAGGATGAAACTGATGCATGACATGGTCCTTTGACGGTGTCAAAGAAAAGTGCCTGATATAACTCGGCCTAAGATCTAAAAAATAACTGTGTGCTCGAGGACAGTCCTACCTGTTGTATATTAGGGGTAGTCATCTGTACATACAAACAGTATTTTTTTGTTCATTACTAACCGCTTAATTGTTATTTAGATTTATTAAGTCAACCTTTTTCTATTCTTTGTTGAGTCCTTAAAAAGTAACCTTACGTTGTCCGTCATCTCTCATAACCCCAGAATCAAGCACTCATTTTTTGCTGAAATCGATCGGTCGGATTTCCCCCCCCCCCCCCAAAAAAAAAAACACAAAACAGCGCGCGCAACACCGAATAAGCAAATATACGCGCTCTTGCACGCCGCTCCTCCAGTGCTTATAATCATTTTCTTTATTATTATTCGAAAGACCGCGTTTTGGCATAACAAGCATAGATAACAACAACACAGGTTCAACACACATAAATAAACAAGTTACAGTCTTGCATAAAGTTTACCAAAGATCGGTGGACAGGTCCTCTTATCTATCTTACAAGTCCGAAGGCCGATCAGGAAAGTGACCCGTTGGTCTAAGATGACGAAGGCACGCTCATCACCCGGCTGCGTTCGTTCACATTGTACATGGCCTCAGACTATTTGATGGACGTGCCAGAGGTGTCTTTTGATAAGGCGTCTATCTTCGAGCGTGAAGCATTTCACAATGCGGCAATGAACGAATGCAGACGTGCTTCAAAGAACGGCAGATTGCAGCAAAACTGAATCCTTGATTCTAGGGTTATTTAAGGCGAGGTAAAACAGAAGGTTAGCTGTTTACCGATGTAAGCAAAAATAAGTAAGTAGGATAAATTAAGTCAGTTAATTTATCAGCACTTATACATGAATTAAAAAGGTTGAGTGTACACACGACTTCCATTATTATACAACACGCATAAGTTTTATAGTACACATGGTTTTTTTTCCTAAATCTTGTTTCAAGTTATAGCTCGGACACTCTGTATATTGTTAATAAGTATGTGCATGAGCTAGAAAAGTGACTGGTCTGAACCTCTTGCACTGGTAATAGATCAATGGAATTCACTGCCATCTAGCATTGCCGCTATCAGTGATCATCAGTCTTTTCAGTTAGCACTCCTTTCATTTCTCGAGCTCCATACCACTTTGCAATAGATCGCTTTATTGTATTTTATACTGCATGTGGTCTTTGATTGTGTTCATTTGTGAAATGTTATTTTTTGTTTGTGAAAGTTATTGGTTATTTTTGAAATGACATTCTTTCTGCAATATATTTCTAGTTTTTGTTTTCAACTGCTGTGTACCTGAAATGCGGCTGTGTTTCATTCCTTACAAATCTCCCTCTTTGTAATGCCCTCCGGGCCCTTAGGGTATTCAAAGAAAATGAAAAAATCAAATAAAACTGCTTTTGTGCGGTACCCATGCGGTCGCCATTAGTTAAACTCGCGGAACATAAAGTACATTTCTGAATTGGTGTTCAGGAGGTCACTATCAATCCGTTTCTCGAAACCTGGCATGAAATGTTTTTTTTTTCTTTTTTTCAAGAATGACGGATATATGGTGTGGGAAAGGCAATCCTTCAAGTGGCAAGGTTAACAAAGATTTCTCCGCCACTCCCCCCCCCCCCTGCGCTTCCAAACTTCATGACTACATCGGCCCTGGCAGTGACAAAATTTTGCAGCAGTGGCCCGCGAGCTCCGGTGGGTATGAATCCCCTATCCAGAATATAACATGAAACGCTTGGACATTTCACACGACAAATTAATGACCACGTCTCGTTGCCAGTACATGGCATCTTTCCGGTTAAGTTTAATCCAAACAACCCCACTTTGTTATAGCAAAACTGGTGAAAAGTAAATGTGTTGAATATCTTATCTGTTCCTTTAGCATATTATTCGTTTAATGGTTCTTTAGAGTCGGAGCGCTCTCAGTGCGAGTGGTACTGAAGTTTATAAAGCGACAGCATATGTCGGCCGCCTTACTCGAGCACTTCACACCGATCGCAAAGCCACCGTCGCCTTGTAAGCTGTCCCGTCTCGGCGTTTGTTTGTGTTCGCTTCTCTCTCTCCCAGGAACCTTCGCGGGGGCGCTTGAGAAGACATATTTTGCGGTGCTCCCGCTGGTCCGCTCACTGGCAAAGGAACGCGTTGAGCATGCCGTGCAGGAAGGAAATATGTATGTCGGTCGCCAGAGGATGGAGAGAGGAAAGATGGGACTAAGAGAGGAAGGGGGAGGTGGCGGTTCGGGCATCCCAGAGACACGGCAGCGTTCATAACTGCCGCCGCAACGTCGACGACTCGCGCGTGGTATTTTTAGTGATGGAGCCAGGTTGCGCGGGGTCGCTCCGCTGGCGCATCAAAGATGGCAGCCGTCTTCTTTCTAAAAAAGAAAGAGACTCCGCTACTACCTACTGGAGGGCTCAAGCTGCGGCCCTAACCTCTCGCCGAACCTCCTTCCCACCACCACGTATACCTCTTCCCTTTAGCCCATCCGCTTCGATAAGCGCTTGCACGATCCCCGCGTGAGAGAGAGCGCGACTGTATGAACGTGGGTGCGTGCCTGACAGCGGTTGCGCGCCCCGCGAGTCACGCGAAAGACTTACGGAGGGTCTCGCACGGAACCTCGGTGCGAGGAGGCAGGCTTGAGAAGTCGCAAGCTCGGGAGTGTGACTCAAGGCCCGCGATTCTCCGAACCTTCGCTGGCTTACCACTACTGGCCTGGCGGCCGCAGGCGACCGCTCGGAGCTGGTGGATGCCAGGACAGGTGCTTGCGAGCGTCGGCAATTGGTCTGCCAAGCGAAGGGGCACCATTGACGTCCCTTGCCTCAGCCGTAACTGCACCGGACGACAACAACATTGCCTTTTGTCGTTGTCATGCTTGTCGTGGATTTGGGCCTCACCTTCGTGACTGGAGTGTACTTCGCTGGCGACTTTGTTTCTCTCGCCTGACTGTTCCTTGTGGATTTTATTTGTTCTATCCTTTCGTCTAAAGTGCGTAAGTCAAGAAAATTCAAGTTACACGTCTGTGCGAGTAGTAGTTTCACGAAAGATGACAAACCAATACGCAAGAAAGGCCGGCTCGTTTAAATTCAAACAGTAACGAAGATGTCGATTTTCCTCGAAAAATCGCAGCACCGGAGCCCGACTTGACACATTCGGTACAATTAGAAGACTGAAGCACGCGCGAGACAAGAACTGCAGGCGTCGGTGACAACATCTCTGGTGCGTGGCCCTCTTTGCACTCTGGGAGTACGGATCAGGAGAAAGACGACCGAACAACGACTGCTCGAAAAAAAAAAAAAACGCAACTAATTAGCAACGCGCAAGCAAGCTCACACTGTACAGATCAGCGACAACGATGGAGAAGCTCTTCAGAGAAGACTTAATGGAGCAGTGTCGTAGATATAAAGATTAGCGCGAGCTCCCTGCTTTTCTTACTCGTTTGTCACAGAGGATTCAGTGCACATTGCTCACACCTACGCAACATCACCAAGTTTTACGAGCAACGGTGACCCAACGTAGTCCTCGTAAGAGTTTTCTACGGTTTTCATCATCCTCCCTGGTACGCTGTCAGACGAAATCTTTACAACGGCCGACACCAGAAAGAAGGACCGAATCCTATTTTTTTCAATGTGGACGCCTGCGTCGTGTGTAATCATCGTTTGTTCTGCTCTGGTAGTGTTTCTTCATGACCAAATTGTAGCGACCCATGTCCGCTACAACGGTGTGCCTCCGACTGTTCGTGTCGGTGAGTATTTTGTTGTTCCTTAGCTTCCACTTTGAAGTTACGACTCAAGTTTTTTTTTGTTCGCGAAGTCCTTCTTTCAAATGGCATTTGCGAAAATACCCTAGTGTTGGTGAACTAATAGAGATAAGGCTCAACTTCCAGTGTTCTTAATCCTACAGTCAGAAACAACGAGTCGGCCGTGGGCGAAAACAGAAAAGCAGCCCATTTGTTAAAAAAAAAAGAATTGAGTGCATACACGTGGAGTAAGTACCATTACCCGTTGTACATGCTGTGTTCTTTAGGCCAAGTATCAGGCGAACATCCTGAACCTTCTGCCATAATAGCTGCTTTTAAATTGATCGGTAATTTTTCAAGGAGCCATTGCCACATTATTTATTTATTTATTTATTTATTTATTTATTTATTATACCATGAGGGTTTTCACACTATAAAGGGGAGGGGCATGCTACCTGTCAAAACGAAAAGCAACACTTGATAAATATATACAAGAACCAAATTCAATAATTGCAGAATAATACGGAAATGCGTTATATATAAACTACGTCAACAAAAGCAACGTAGCAGTAGCGATAATGGAGGTAGTACATGTTCAAGCACTAATCAAAGAACAGCAAACAATCCCAAAAACAATAAAAAAACAAAAACGAACAATATATATATATATATATATACATGTATATATATATATATGTATATATATATATATATATATATATATATATATATATATATATATATATATATATATATATATATATATCAAAGCAGAAATCAAATAACGCCCAAGATGTTTTGTAAAAAAACCATAAAACACGTGATGTGCTGGTGATTGTGGTAGCTGATCAGCTGATCATGGGAGTAGATTCCATTGAGATGTAGTTCTTGGAACGAAAGCGCGCAAATGGGTTTTGGTTCTGCATTGAGGATCATGAACTTTTTGTGGATGATCTATTCTGGGTGATATGAATGAGGGGGGTTTAACGAAATGTTCGCGAAGTCTATTGTTATGATAATAAAGCTTATGAAAGAGACTTAGCCGGGCTATTTTACGCCGAATGGCGAGTTCAGGAAGGTTGAGCTGAGATTTCATTAGTGTAACACTGGCCATGCGGATATATTTGGACAAGATAAAGCAAACTGAACGATTCTAGACTGCTTGCAATTCATGTGTTAGTGTAGTGCCACCAGGATCCCTAGATGGATGATGCGTATTCAAGCGATGGGCGAATGTAGGTACTGTAAAAAAGCTTCTTAAGGGATGAAGGTGCCATGGAGAAGTTTCTGCGAAAATAGCCGAGTTCACGGTTAGCTTTGGCGATGATGTACTTCAGATGATGGTTCCATGTCAGGTTATCCGAAATAAGAACACCTAGATATTTGTAAGATGAAACAGCCCTCAAGGTAGGTATCGTTAAGGTGATACTGTGGACAAACAAGTGAAGTGCGGCACACGCGCATTGCTTTTCATTTAGAAATGTTCATTTCCATGTTCCATAATTGGCACCAGGTAAATATGTTATTTAGATCCGCCTGAAGCGATGTGACATTGTCTTCGTTACTTATTTTTCGATAAATTACGCAATCATCAGCGAATAGGCATACCTTTGATGAGACGCTAGTTGACAAGTCATTCATGAAAATTAAGAACAGCAAGGGTCCCGACGCAGGGCCTTGGGGAACGCCCGAGAGCACAGGTTGGACGGGTGAGCAAACATTGTTAGCAGAAACAAGTTGTATTCGGTTAAAAAGAAAGGCCGGGATCCAGTTAAGCACGTTAGGATCTAGATTTATAAGTTTCAGCGTAAGAAGTAGTAACTCATGACTAACCTTGCCAAACGCCTTCGAATTATCCAAAAAATACAGTCAATGGTAAATCTAGTGTCGAGTAGGACATGCAGTTCGTTAGTAAAGACCGAGAGCTGCGTTTCACATGAGAATTTTTGACGGAAGCCATGCTGGGAGGGTGTGAAAAACTGGTTAGACTCGAGAAAGTTAACAAGGTGAGTGAAAATGGTATGCTCAAATATTTTGCGCTGGACAGATGTTAGCGATATTGGACGGAAATTCAATGGATTGTGTGTCACCCCTGATTTGTTAACTGGTACTATCTTACCAATCAGCGAGTCTTCCGGAAGGCTTGAGTGCTGCAAGGACTATGAAAAAATGCATCACAAGATAATAGAGCAGTATTCAACAGTGTTTTTCAGGAATTTAGTATTGATTCCATCAACTCCACATGATGACGAGCTTTTAGGTTTTTTAATGCCGAATACCTTCGGAGGTAACGAAAATAGCGTCCATGGGTTGGGGTGAAGGCAAAGTGATTTGGTTGTTGATGGTCACCTGGTGTGAGAAAGCTTTTATGAATGTGTCGTTTAGTATAGATGCGCATTCTACGTCGGGCACGGGATGCCCGTCAGCTGTCAGCAAGGTTCTCGTGCGATTCTCGCTGCTACGTACGAAATTCCAAAACTGTCTAGGGTTATTTTTCAGCATAGTTGGTAGAGATTTACTGAAAAAGAAAGACTTTGCATGTTTTAGTGCAAATAAATAAGTTGCAGCAGCAGATTTGTAAGTTGGCCAACGTTGATCAGACGGGGATTGGGTAGCAGTTTAAAACTCTTCGTATTCCTGAATGTCCGGGTAATATGAGCCGCCTTTCATGTGGCCGAGGGAAATTTTCTTGACCAAACGTTAAGAAAACACGAATGTTTTGTTTCTATCGCGTAGTTGAATATATGTTGCACCTTTTCGCCATGGTAGTGCAATTCATGTTTTTTTTAACCGACACACCAGGTTCGTAAAGCTGTAGAGTCTAGTCTGTTGTAGTCAGTCTTGCTGACCAGTGAATTATCAAGTGGCGTAGTTTGTACGGAAATGAAAGGAAAGGTAGAGAAAGTATGCGACAAAGTAGAGCCAAATAGAAAGTTTAAACCGATACCCATCCACAAAAAAAGCGAAGTATGTAAACTAAAGACTAATCCAAATACGAAGAACAAACGCTATGAAGGCTAAGAAATACAGCAAGAAAAAGATGAGGATGGATTATGTATGTGAACAGATAAAGTGCATTACTCTGCTATTTATACCCTGAGCTGGCGTCCCGAGGAGAAAAACACGGCTGAGTAAGCACTCGCCATTGAAGTAGTCACTCGTCTGCTCCGGCAAGAGTCCATAAAGGACTGTGGAGTAAAAATATTGGCACAAGGGAACCCTCAGGCAATGTTTACCATCAAAAAAGGTGGTGTTATTAAACACGTGTGGCAACGTTAACTGGGGAATGGTCAACACAAGCGAAATAGGTCTATCGTGTTATTGAAGGACATGAAGTAGAAATTACCTAATATATATCACGCATAGGTAGTGGTACACTTCTCTATCAGAGGATCTCTGTGTACCCAGAAACAAGATAATAGAGCGGCACATAGTTATAGATTACAGTCGATATATATCGTACCTAAGCAAAATCAAGCAAGACAGCTGTGTGTCGTTGCCGTATTTTGAAATAGACTAGGAAAACTATTATCATCTTGAACTACACCTATAGAATGTGACCTATCTCGACATTTTGTTAAAGCGTTGACAGTTGAGCATGTTGGTACGATTCACAGAATTATCAGTTACTTCCAGTCAGGTAAGATTCAGTTACGCTGAACAGGAGCATGTTTGGTGCACCCCAGTTATCTTGGTAAAATAAATGAAACCTCCCGAAAGAGTGTAAATGTTAAAAACAGTATTAAAACAATGTTAACAAGCAGTGAATGCACAGCATAATAACGTGAATGAAATTCTCACTGCACCTGTAACAAAAAAAGCATTAGTTATTTTAACGTATCACTTTCTTGCATGAGCGAAAGCGCAGTTTCGTCGAATAATTAACAAAACGGCTGGTGGCGGTATTGTCACTCGCGTCGGCCTCAGTCATAGCATTAATCCACATTAAAAAAATTTGGACCATCTCACTCAAGGGAACTCTGATGGGATGCGAAGCAGCAGCGTTGCGTACGGGGGGCGCTACGGGTTAAACGGCGCTAACGTGGTTTTGCGGTGAGTGCTGGAAGATTCATTCGAAGGGTTGGCTGGCGTAGGACTAGTAGGTGACACATAAAGTCGGCCAACTCTTAAGCTATCGTGCATTATAGGCAGTCTTTTTTTCTGTGTAAATTTGTCATACGACTGAATTAGGCTTCAGTTGAATCAGAGACCAGTGCATGCCCACAAAGCACATGCCCACGAAGCACGTTTTCGTAAATTATTTCTATAATATGGCACTGATGGACAAAAAAGTGGCCGCTGCCCAGAGTAATAGCTAAGAGTTTGGGCGACTGTACAGACATGTTTTAACGTGTACGTTAGGCGTGCATCTGGTTTATTGTGTGTGAACCGACGAGTCGGCGGTGTAGCAAGCGGTGGTCGCTGCAGGTGTTACGGACATGGTGGCTGCTGCGGGTGCTGCGGTAAGCGCGTTTCAGGCGGGCGAGGGAGTGACGTCAGCGCGCACTGCCAACCACTCCTATAATATATAGGAGGTGTTGGCACTGCGAGGGGAGCACAACGTCAACGCGCCGCAGTTGTGTGACCTACTTGGCACCGCGCCGACACCTGTGGCACGCTAGGTGGCGTTCGTTGTACGGAAAGACAGCATAACACAGTCCATTCAGAGAGCTGCTTCACATCTAAAAGACCTCCATCACATACTGCACGCAACTACTCGCACTCATGCGCTATAGTTTCGAAAACCTCTTTGGCAGCATACATGTAAGTGAACACATGCGTGGGATTGTGTTTTTACAGCGAAAGCTGTTATGAGATCTCAACTGGGGTCTAGCGTAGTGCCTTAGTTGTCCACCGCCGCCACCGCTGCTGTCCGTAACCACATCGCGCTAAATTAGAAAAAAAACAAGTATCAATGACAAAGTGGGGTTCGAACCCACGTCCGCTGGGTGCCGGTCCAGTATTCTACCATTGCGGAACATTGGTGCTTGGAACTTGTTGGCAAA